CTTACTTCAGACCTTGCAACTATTGCATTGTCCCATTCATCTCTGCTATTCTCCCTCATTCCTATTTGGGCTGCTGCTTCCTTTCTATTCAGTCAGCTAGCCATTCCCCACGCCCATCCTCCTTCCTTCCTCCTTGGGTGTAAGGAGTGGTAACCCCACCCCTTAATTCCTATCTTCATTCTATATGTGTCTCATAATAAACATGTATAAACAATGTATATACAATAGCATGGGAATTTGGGAAAAGGAAGAGAACTCCTTTTCCTCCCCATCGTTGATAATTAAAAGCTCCATACAGCTCAACTTTATTGACAACCTGAGGATTGAGGAGAACTGGGGTTGGAACCTACACCAACCCCTTACATTGGGCCTTGGCCCTTCACTCCTCCTTTGGGAAACACCATTGAGTCAAACCCTTGACCCTTGGTGTTGTTCCTCATTCCAGCTCCCTTTGTCTCCTTTCGGAGTACCCTTGCTCCTTTTGATTCCGGACCCCTCCTTATATACAATGTACATAGTAACTTGTAACCTCAGTCTGAAATCAACTTGATTCCCCCCTCAGAGACTTCCCCTCTGCTAGATCTGAAATTAGGGACCCCTAGGACAACCAGCAATGGGACAGCACTCTGCATGAGTTGCTGAGGCTGAGGTCCTTCCATGCTAAGTCTCCAATTCCATTCCAGAGTCGTCTGAATCCGCCTGATTGTCAGGGTCGTGCATGCTCGCAACAAAGGATGCCCCCAAAACCAAGTTGATAGCAAAGCTGGGGGACATGCCCATGCCAGCAAAGGATATATATACACGGTAGAGATGGTAACTAGCCAACTAACTAATAACTGGTAGAAGTGGATCAAAGATGATAGAAGATCACACAGCATCATAACTGATACCATGTGACCAGATCAAATAGAAGATCAGAAGCGGAAAAGAAGAAGAACCTGATGGGGATATGGGCCATGTGGCGCTGCGCTACTTACACTAGCGACCTGAAGATGTGCCCTGACACCGATCTAACAGAGGTGCCATGTCAGCCTCAGATTGTCACCCCACGCCACACTGCACTACTCCGCTTCCCCTGCTATCACTCCCCATCCCTCCTTTCCCATTTTCCCCCTTTCTCTCTATTTCTATTCTACGGTCGATTTCCCTTTTCTCCATGTACCACTACTTACCTAACCCTGCTCCCCTGATCGCCACACACACCATGCACACTCCCACCTACTGAGTGGCCACCTCTGGGATCTCCTGCAGAGACACCCAGGGAAGTGCAGCTGTGTGCGGAGATGACGTGGCTTCCTCCATGTGACCCTAGCCACATGTATATAATAGCGCCTGGGGTGGGAACAGAAGAAGCAGCCTTCTTCTCAACTTCCCACTTCAGACTAAGTGGTCAGGGACGCTCACTCCGTGACAGGATCGCCACTACGCACAGCCGACATCTGTCCCACTGAGTCCCTTGCACCAGGACTTCACCGCTTTCAGAGCTGTCCCTGACACAGATGAAGCCAGGTTGTCACAGGTGACTCTGTGGTCGATCCCAGGTGTCAGAGAAGAGAAACACAAGTAAGAATGCACAGTGTGTCTGGCATTGTGGTACCCATGTGGGGTGCTTGGCGTCAGACACATTGTTGTGGGGACAAGTCCATGCAGAACAAGCCTCATTGCACACTTCACCCTTTACTGAATCAGGGATTAGGACTGGTGAGTTGGGGTAATAGTAGGAGTTGTAGAGGTTGTAGAGGTGGTTCTAACGAGTCCAAGACCGTTGGATTTGGTGGAGTTGTTGAGGAGATATGACATTTTCTTTATTATCCTTACTATTTTCATTCATTCATGCATGTGACTTTCTTTTCTTATTGTATCGGACTCTTCCATGCACTATATAGTTAGTTAGAGACAGAGTTAGAGAGAGTTATCAGCACTGTACTACCTACCCCCCCCAGACCTGAGTTGCGAGTCTAGTTATGTGGAAAAGAGAGAAGTCGTCCATATAAGGATAGAAAGGAAGAAGAGAAAGAAAGATAGGAGGAAGAAGAAAGAGGAAGAAAGAGGAAGGAGAGGGGAGTGGCGTGGTGTGCCCTGATACAGGGGTATGTAATTCTTAAAGAGTTTTTGTGACTGTTTTTGTTTTAGCACCCAGACCGAATCTAGGACGAGCTAAGGACACAGTAGACTCCCTCCCCATGAATTTTCTTGCATTTAGGGGGTCAGATTCTAGCCTGCTTGCAGTATTGGTGGTCCTTACAGGGGGGAGTCATTCTATTTGTTCAAGAACATCCTACTCCCAAATATCATTCCTCCATGCCACTATACACACCCCTCATGCATGTATGGCTATCGATTGAGCTGAAGATTCAAGTCAGCCAGAAGAAATTTCATTTTTACTGCACAACACTATATACAAGTTCAACTTGTTTGTGAGACTAGAGAAGATGTCTCACACTGGCAGTGCACCAGCACCCCCTCCAGTTAACCTAGCTGTGGCCCCTGTTGCCCAAGCTGCTACATTGGCAATTAGCTGTATGCCTGGTTCCCGTTCCAGAGATGCACCAAGATTTAAGGGACATAAGCTCAAGAAGTTCTTATTTGACTTCGAGCTTCATGCCAATGCAGCATGCCTCTCAGACAGAGAGAGATGTGAGTATGTAGTATCCTACTGCTCTGAAAAGGAAGCCAAGTTCATCAGAACGTTGGATGGCTTCGAGAACAGAGACTGGAATATGTTGAAAACAGATCTCAAAAATTATTACCCCACTGATCAAGAAGATCGTGTGTACCGTACCAAGGACTTGCAGCACCTCGTTGATAAAGACCACAAAATAAAACGTCGTAAAGACTTTGACACATACCATTGCAAGTTCAGGTTCATAACAAAGTCCCTGGAAGCCAGGCATGTGTCAGGGCACACTTGCCTGACCTGGCTCCACCTGGCCCCACCTCACCTGGTACCCTGGTGCCCGCTCCCCCTGCTTTCTTCTTCTTTCCCTTCTGTCTCTCTTCCTCTCCATTTCCTTACTTTCTCCTTGTTCTACTTCCTCTTTATTTTCTCTTTATTTTACACAGACAACCTTCCTTTGTATCAATGTACCCTTGACCCACCCACAGCGTGCATATGATGCACCCGGCCTGGGCACCTTGGGCAACTTCCCACTGTGCCCAGCACATGTGTTCACACCAGATGCCCTCAGGATCGATCTCCCATGGAGTGTCATATCCGTGCATACCCAATCCCGACCTGACTTCCGGACCTCCTCCTCCCCCACCTCCGGAATCCTACCCTACTGCTGTCCATTCCGATATTCACCTTCAGTCCTGGCACCACACCACCCTTCACCTCCCATGCCACCTCTACTCCTCCGACACTCTCCTGTCCTATCTCTGTCCGCTCCGATAACCACCTCGGACCGAACACCACCCCTCTCGCCATCCTCCTCCTACTCCTCCTCCTACTCCTCCGCTTCCTCCTCCGCTCCCTCCTCACAACACCTCCACCCTTCCATCATCCTCCTACTCTTCTCCTGTCCACTCCGATACCCACCTTCGGACTTGACACCTCTCCTCTCTTCCTCCCCCTCTCTTCCCTCTGGTCCTCTTCCACCGACCTCCCACCAAGTTACGACCTCCCGCCGCTGACCCATACTTCGTACTTGGGCACCGCTCGTACCTTTGCTCCGAGCCTCCATCATAGTTCCTACCTCGGACTTTGACTCCACCTCAGTCTTAGTCCATTGCATTGGTGACCTCATACTATGTAAACACCATTGCCAATATTCCTCGGACTTTCAACCCCGCCTCCGTAAGCTCCGCAACCTCCGAGCTTTGCGGATCATCTTCGGCACTTTCACCGTTTGTAATGTATTTCTCGCGTTCCCCCTCATCCCTATTTGGACTGCTGCTTCTTCCCATTCTAGCCAGTTAGTCATCATCCCCACTTCCCCTCATCCTCCTGCCCCTCTGGGCCTTGCCCTCCTTACCTCCTTTCGGACGTATCACAGGTTCTGCCTTATGACCTTCAGTACCGCTCCGCTTCTGTCATCCCTTTGTTCCCGTTCGGACGCCTTTGTTCCGATTCGGTCCCCTTTCGTTTCCTTGTGCTTTTGCCCCCTCCATTATATATATCGGTGCTTGTACATACTCATAGGAGGCTCAGTCTGAAATCGACCTGAAATGCCCCCTAGAGACTTCCTGCTCGCCTACTGTGAAATCAAGGACCAAAATGGACAAACAGCAATGGCACAGCACTCCGCTTGAGTCGCTGAGGCCAAGGTCCCTCCACGCTAAGTCTCCGATTCCACTCCGGAGTCATCTGAATCCACCCGTCTCTAACATGGAGATACTCAGGTGGTTATGGCTGTGTGCAAGGGTGACGTGGCACCCATCATGTGACCCAAGCCGCATGTATATAAACATACCTGAAGTGGGAACCGAAGAAGTAGCCTTCTTCTCATCTTTCCACTTCAGTATAAGTGGCCAGGGACCATTGTCCCATATTGGGCCTGTCAGTATGCATGCCCAATCTGCACCCTGCCAGACTCTCAGCACTGGGCACTACACCTGGGCTCCCTCCACCCCAGATGAGTCCCTGACAGCATGCCTTGAATGTGAATGACAAAGATGATTATTTTTATCATGGTATCAAGCCCATGAAGTTTCGTGGTAACCTCAAGTGTGAGCTTAAAGCTCATGACTGTTGGAGGGACCTCACAGTTCCCCCAAACATGACACAAGTAGTTTTGACCATAAAAGAACTATTGAAACATGACCTATACCATGCTGACAAGTCAGATGAGGATTCGGATTCAGACAGTGATGATTCTTCTGGAGATTCCTCCGATGACAAAGGGGACTCCAATAAGGATAGCTTCTCAGATGAGTCCTTGGACTCCAAGGAAGACCAATCGGCCCTGCACTGTAAAAGTTCTAAGTCATCTAAGAAAAAGAAATCCCATAAGAAAGCCAAGCATGGGTCCTCTGAAACCTGCAAAGAAGTCAGGGTAGCCATGGCACCCAAGCCTGAACCCAAACAAGAGACCATGGACCATGTTCAGAAGGCCAACATGGATGATTTGGCCAATAGACTTAGCAAACTCACTATCGACGTTGCTAGATTAATGGAAAAGCCCAAGTACAGTCAGTATAATACTGGATGGTGCTTCATGTGCCTCTCTGAAGGCCACGGTTTCAAAGGTTGCCCCGAGACCAAAGCATTTGTGGCAGCTGGGGTAATCAGATATGACACCTCCAACAGATTAGTTATGTCTGATGGTAGTCCGCTTCCTTGCTCAACAGATGGAAGTCCATTAGTGCATTTAATCTGCGAAAGAGCTAATATGCATAGTGCAGCCACTCTGGAGTGGATGAGTGATTATGAGCTTGCCAATAGAGAAATTGCTACCCTTGGTGAAGGGGAATTTGAAGTCTACCCAGTGTATGCATGCCCAGGGGAGTGTGGTGACAGTGATAAGCCCAAAGCATCCAAGTCCAAGCCATATGATTGGCCACCTTCACCAATGAGGTGTACCATGCCACCAGAGGAGGTGAAAACTGCACCAGCCCCCAATTGGGCTTATGTCAAGATACCCCTGCCACCCAGGATTCTGAAATGGCCACTGATGCCACAGGAAGATGAGCCAATGATGGACGGAGAGTTCACCCCTAGAGAAAAAGGGAAACAAAGAGCTGTTCCCTCTGCATCCTGTCTGTCAGGGCACACACCCTGACTAGCCCGGACCCGGACCTGGACCCACATGTGCGCTTCCGCCCCACACACTCCACACACTGCATGCTCCAGGCCTGGTTCCCATCCTTCATGTGACTTCTGGGTATCCCCGGAAGTTTTCTGGTGGCCACTGTGGGAAGATGAGAAGTTAGCTTCCTTCTCATCTCCTTACCCACAGTAGGTTGTGCCCTGGATAGGGCTGGTTACACCAGTAGGTTGTGGACCATAGGGGAGGGTCATGGGGACCCAGGAGTCATCCTGTTAGATCGGGTGGATTCGGACGACTCCGGAATGGAATCAGAGACTTAGCATGGAAGTGAGGAAATTTGTATCCGGTGCGACTACTGGACTTATCCAGAGCTCCAAATTCTTATGACGTAAACCAGTGTGACTGGACAAATGACATAAAATGGACAAGCCTGGTATCGAACCCAGGACTTCTAGCGTGCATCCATACACTACTTGCCCATTATGCCAGGGGGGGGTACCCCTTCCCTGATGGTTTGGGAGATCACTTGATCCCTTCCTCCAACAGGAAGGACCTCAGCCTCAGCGACTCATGTGGAGCGCTGTGCCATTGCTGGTTGTCCTAGGGGTCCCTAATTTCTGATCTAGCAGAGGGGAAGTCTCTTGGGGGGAAATCAAGTCGATTTCAGACTGAGGTTACAAGTTACTATGTACATTGTATATAAGGAGGGGTCCAGAATCAAAAGGAGCAAGGGTACTCCGAAAGGAGACAAAGGGAGCTGGAAGGAGGAACAACACCGAGGGTTGAGGGTTTGACTCAATGGTGTTTCCCAAAGGAGGAGTCAAGGGCCAAGGCCCAAGGAGGAAGGAAGGAGGATGGGAGTGGGGAATGGCCAGCTGACTGAATAGAAAGGAAGCAGCAGCCCAAATAGGGATGAGGGAGAATAGCGGAATTGAATGGAGCAATGCAATAGTTGCAAGGTCCGATGTAAGTCCGGAAAGTCTGAACTCGGAAGTTAAACTCCAGAATATTGGCAAACATAATTAAATGGAATGAGCTAACCAATACAATGGGTATAAGCGGAGGTGGGGTCAAAGTCCGAGGTCGGAGCTAAGACCAGAGGTTCCAGAGACGGAGATGTGAATGGGATTCCGGAGTGGAGGTCCAGAGTCAGGAGCATAGGTGTTGTGTGCTCATCTGGAAGGTGTTGAGGTTGAGGTCGGACCCGGAATGTTCCGGAGTCGGACCGAAGGTGGTGTCAGAGCCAGAGGTGGGATAACCTCTTGGGAGTCGGCAAGGAGAAGGTGATGGAAGGGAAGTAGGGCTCCAGAGTCGGTTTCGGAGTTCCGGGAGCCCAGAGCGGAGGTCGGGATTGTATGGATATGACACGTCCCCTGACTGTCCCCCTGTGCCACACAGTGTGCCAAAGTCCAATGCCACATGTAATAAAGTTACCTTTGAGGAACCTAAGACACCAGATTCCCCAAAGACCCCAGCATATAAGCAGAGGGCCCCACCAGCCTACAAGTTCACCTCTGAGTTACAGGAGAGGTTGAACTCTGAGGAAGTTTAGAAATTATTGTCTCAAGAAATTTCCCTGCCGTTAGGATCGATCTTAGGATCGTCTTTTGAGCTTAATAAGCATCTCCAAATGGCCATGAAAGTTCAAAGGATTCTGATCACCAAGAAAGCAGAGACAGCTGGTCTGGACCTTGAGCCATCGAAGCCCTTGCCAGTTGAGGAAGAAGAGCCAAACTTTAGACCTGTCTTTGACATCTCAAGTCTTGAGTCTGAATACTCAGATGATAGTGACAGCAGAGCACCTGCAAGAATGTGGCCTCACCAGTCATGAAATTTATTCTTCAGCCAAGTGGCCTTCATATCTAGCTATGGTGATGGCCAAGATTTAGGGCCACATCTTTAACCAACCCTGCACCATTTTGATAGATACAGGAAGCAAGCTCAATATTATGACTAGTGAGCAAGCCTACGCACTTCAGCTGCCCGTTGATCCGATGGGAGTGATGTGGTCTCTTAGAGGCATCTCAGGACACCAGGTTGCCCTAGAGGGGCTCTGTAGAAATGTGCCTGTAACTCTAGGTGGTGTAGAAGTGCCCCACAATTTCTTTATATCTAAGGAAGGCCTAAATGGAAAAGACATGATCCTAGGCCAACCATGCCTGTATGGACATAGCTCGCAAATAGAGTACATGCCAGATGTTGGAATGACAATACAGATTTGGACGGAGGGAGATCACGACAGTGGGACCTCTGTATGGATTAAATTACCAATTATGAATGCACAGAGAAATGTTTTTCAAATTTTTGTGCACTGACAAGCAGAAGCTGCTCCCATCACTCTAGATGTTAATACAGTTGAGCCTGGAATCGTTATGGGTGAGAAGGAAATTCCTAAGTTCCTTAGTCGCATTATCACAGTGCTCATGGCACCAGAGCCAAAGTTCAAAAAGCTAAGGCCTGACAGCCTAGAGTATGCCCTCATCTCATGGGAGATGAAGGACCCGATTATATTAAAAGCCATAAGGGATACATGGATCATCTCTAAATCCCAAATGAGGCTAGTTTAAGTGACTGAATTGAAGCAATCAGTCTAAGGTGGTCCTTAACTTCAGGTTAGCAGGGGGAGTCTCTTGGGGGACAATCCAGTCGTCATGGTCGATTTCAGACTGGGGGTACAGGAAACTATGTACAGAGTGTATATATAATAATACAGGAGTGGAGTCAGAGGACAAAGGGAACTGGAAGGAGACAAAGGGGGACTGGATGAGGGAACAACCCCAAGGGTCAAGGGTTGGAACTCTATGGTGCTTCCCAAAAGGGCAAGGCCAAGAGGGGAAGGAGTGGAGGGGGTTGTGGGGAATGACAGCTGACTAATATGGAAAGGAAGCAGCTGTCTAAATAAGGAAGAGGCAACAAGAGGATTAAATGACACCATACAGTAGAGACTGCAGGGTCCAGAGTAAGTTCCGGAGGTCCGGAGTCGGAAGTCAAAGTCCGGAATATTGGCTAGACATAATAAATGAAATGCAATAAGGAATACAAGGAGATAAGATGGAGGAGGAGGTCAAAGTCCGGAGGCAGAGAGGTGACCGGAGTTCTGGAGGTGGAGGTGCGATGGGGTTCCGGCACAGGAGTCCGGAGCTGGAGGTATGGAGCATCGCAAACTCTGGTCTGGAAGGTACGAGGTTGGGATCGGACCCGGAGTAAACTGGAGTCGGACTGGAGGTAGTGTTGGACATTGTGTTGGAGCCAGAGGTAGAGTGGGCTCTCAACAACCTACAGGGGGAGGAGGAGGTGATGGGTGTGGAGTTCTGGAGGTGGTGGTGGAGGTCCAGAAACAGGAGCGGAGGTCCGGAGTTGTATGGATATGACAGTCACCACAGTGTAGGAGGGCACACCAAGTACCACACAAACAAGGCCAGAACCACGCTTCGAGGCTCCAACAAGCACCCTCAAGCTTCCGACATAGTCCCAATGCCCACAGAACATTTCCACATTTTTTCCATTTTTTTCATGCTTTTTTCTCAAGACTCATGTTGCCACTTCCCCAAATTCCACAGTTATCCACCATTTCCCCCATATCTTCCACCAAATCACACGATTTTGAGCTCGCCATGGACAGCGAAGGATCAGGAGAAGAGGATGGAATGACAGGACAGGAGTTAGGACAACAGATACGTGGTGGAGAAGCGAGATTGATGGTCAATATTGACTTCATGGGTTCATTTATTAATTTCATTGTCACTTGTGGTCCACCCTTTTGCCTTATTGTTCTTTAACCGAACTGCTAACATTCTTCCTGTTGCCATTGCCACCATATATCGCCTATTTCTCTTATTTTTTGTTCTGATTTATCCTTTTTTCTATATATACACCCAGTTTACATTGTACTTACAGTTGTTGGACCCCTCTTCTGTGCTACAAAGAATGTGGTGTTGAGCGATCCCTCCATACGTTAAAGAAGCTTCTTGACGACTGTCCAAGAAGGACCAGGAGTGAGTACAGATTTAGTGAGATTTTATTGATTGATTGTCTAGCACTCGGACCACAGCACAGTATTGGCACTGTTGCCACTACCCTTCCTTTCTCCCCTTCCAACCCAATTCAGACACTACCCCCAGGTCCCTACTCTCTTGCCTGGGCAGCTCATTTGCCCAGTTACAATGGCAAGAGACTTGTCTAAGCATTTTATGAGAGAAGTATTGGGCACTCGTTACAAGCCCATTAGTAAAAAAATTCTCCCAGGTTCAGCTTATGACCCAGAGGTGATTGTGCCCATGTACACACCACTTGAGATAGGCATACTCTCACCATTGCCTATGCACCCCCCAGAATTTGCACAGAATCCAGACTCACAAGAGAAAGGGTAGCAGCCATAGTGGCATGCATAACCCCCAATTTTCTTACGAAAGCTGAAGTGGATCTCTTAGTCCACATTCTCTTTAAGTACAAGAAGGCTATAGCATTCACAGATGCTGAACGAGGCACCTTCAATTGCAGGTATTATCCTGATTATATTATGCATACAATACCACACAAGCCTTGGCAAGTTAAGCCCCTGAGATTGCCTCAGGCTCATACTGAAGAAATTATGTACATGATGAAAGAACAAATGGATGCAGGGAAATATGAGCCATCTCAATTGTCCTATAGGGCGAGGTTCTTCGCTGTTGAAAAGAAAGATAATGAGATGTTGGATTCATTTGCCAGAGCAGTGATTTATGGCATATTTGACTTGAAAAGCAGATTTGACAGTTGTACATTGGCTCCAGCATCGAGAGATTTAACTACATTTGGAGCCGGACATATGGGATCCTTGCACCAGACAACCCTACCCCAAGGCTATACGAATTCCCCTACGGAATTTCAGTGTAGGACCACACATATGGTCGGTCCTATGATACCCAACAAAGCCGATGTA